CCCCCCTTTCCGTCAGCCGCCCCCCCTCCGAAGAGGTGCCCGATACGCACCCTTCGAGGTCCGTGCCCGACCACACGCGGTTCGGTCTGCGCCGCCTGGGCCCGGTCCCGTCTGGCCTGGCCTCGCGGCACCCAGGGCCGAATCCCCGAGCGAGAAGCCAGGGCCCGGTGGGTGTGCGGGCTGTGCGCAGCCTTCCTGAGAAGCTCTGAGCTCAGGACCAGGCCCGGCTCATCCGCTACAGCTGCCCCCGCAGCCCTAGGCCGCGCACCCAGCCCGTCAGGGAAAAGCAGCTCCCATTTTCTGCCACACACCCCTGGGCTCCACCGTCGGCTATTCGGGGTTCCACTGTGAGGCACCCCCCACCTTGCAGCCGGGCTACTCTGCCGCGCGCCCTTGGCCTCGGCCTTCCATGACCTCTGACCCCTCTTGGTGCGAACAAGGCCCTGCATTTCTCTGCGGGCGCGAAGAGGCTCTGTGCCCGCTGCGTGCTTTTCCGCGGCGCACCGGGGTGTGCGTGCTGCGTGCATAGTCGGCCTGTGTGTGCACCGCGGGCCTTCTCAGAATCTCGACCACCGGGCTGCGGGCCGTCCGCCTCCCAGATCTGGTCTTGCCAGGGGAGGGCCCAAAATTAGAGCGAGAAAATGGAAAGCACTGCGCTCCTGCCGGGCTTTCGCTGCAAGCGAGAGGCCGACTCAGCACACCTCGCGCGGCCCCGGAAACTTGCGAGAGGCCCTTGGCGGCGGGCGCCAGTCTGGCCTCAGCCCTGCGCCTGCCGCACCTCTGCCAGGTGGGGAAGGTTGCCGAGATGGGAATCTGGGGGCTAGAATGGGGGCCTGGCAGGCGTCCTGTGTCCTGGCCCAGAGGCCCGGGATCTGGAAAAGTAGACCCGGTGGTCGCTGCGAGGGCAGGCTTCCCTTCCTGGGAGTCCTCAGCGAGAAAAACCTGTGAGGAGAGTGACTGTCGGGCCCAGACCCCAAGCCCGTTCCTAGGGGAACCCTGGTAACCGCTCCCTAGAGGCTCCACAGCTGGCACCGCTCTCCCTAGCACCCCCAAGGAGGCTCGGGGTCTTGCTGCCTGCCCTGAGTAGCGCGGGATCCACTGAGGAATTTCGTTTTATTGGACTATATTTTAAGCAGATGTGAACATCCTAGGGGACCAAACTCTATTACCTGTGTCTGAGGCAGCAGGGCTGGCTCCCAGCAGCCCTGCCGCAATCTCCTCCCCACAGAGTGCTGGGCAGGTGGGGCTGGGGGAGCCGCAGCAAGGTCACAGTTACCAGGCTAGTATTCAAGGCTCTGGACTGCCTCACCTTTGGGCCCTGGGCTGTGCCTGCAATTGTGTGCTGGGCACAGAAGTACACCCAGGCCAGGGGATGTGACCTCACGACCTAGAGACTGGGAAGCCACCGCTGAGGGTGCATCTTGGGCTGTGATTTCGTTTGTTTTTCTCTGGAGACCCGAGCTCTGCTACAGGGCCTGTGAGGGGGAGTTAGTAGGATCTAGGACTCCCGGAGAGGGCTCTTGGTTGGGCTTTCCAAGGACACATGCTAGAGTTGGGCTGATGGGAAATCCAAGCCTCCAACCTGAGCATGTAGGGGACCAGGGGCAGAGTAAGGAGAGTTCAGGGCCAGGATCACCCTTCCTGTAGCCAGAGCAGTGAGGCAGTGGGGCTGTTCTGGCCTCACATTTACAAACTAAATGCCTAACAAAAGCTTTGTTGTTTCTGCCACCTTTGTGACTCAGGTGGGCAGGTGGGGGTTAGAACTACTGAGGTGCTCTCCTGACCTCTATGGTCTTCACAGCAAAGCAGGGGGACCTCTGTGCAGGGATTGTTCTAGAGACGGGCTGCAGCCAGGGTCCCCATCAGAGCTGCCCTCTGAGGCCTGATCCCCACTAAGATGACAGACCTCATGTCCTAGGTACCACATACCCCCAGCCCAGGATAGTGTCGTCCCAGAGCTGCCACCTCTGCTGGCCATGGGACTTTGTGTGCTGCTTGTGTCTGAGTGTACCATGTGTGTGGAAGGTGTGTGAGCCAGGTTGAGGTGAGGGGCTGGAGGTGGCTCCCATCTGTTCCTTCTTCCTGAAGAGACCAGCCAGGATGGCTGGGCCTGCCCTTCTCCCACCTTCCCAGGGAGGTCTGTCCCCCTTTCCAGTTCCCTCCCCAGAGCTTAGGCAGAAGCCTCTGCATGGATGCGGGTTACAGCTGCAGCTTGAGGATGTCGGCCGGAGTCTAGTGTCTTGCCCCGCTTCAGACGAAAACTCAGAGGCTGCCGTGGCGGGGCGGGGTGTGGGGCGGGCTGCCAGGGCCCAGTGCCCTAAGGCAGTGGGCTCTGTGCCCTGAAGGCCCTGCCTCTGCCACCAGCCAGGCAGGTGTGTCACAGTGCCTATGCCTTGCAAGACAGGGACTTGCCAAGGTGGGTATGTGGAGTGATCTGGGTGGCTCAGGCATTGGTTTCTTCCTAGGGTCCCCAACCACCTGATGCCCACCCGGGGCTGCACTCCCTGTCAGGTAGGTTAATTTTTCAAAGGAGGTCCTGGCCAGGCCTCCTGGTCCCTCCTGTCCCTGAGGCTTCTGTGACCCCTGTTCTGGACAGTGCCCAAGACAAGGGACCAGGTCCTGCCATTTCTGTGAGCAGCTGGGTGAAGGTGGCCAGTGGGTCAGGGGCTCCCCCCACCAGACCCCTGGGGGAGGTGCAGCCAGCCACAGCTCACTGGGCTGGGGTGGGCCCGATTAGCCCCCTGTTTTATTCAATTAGGAGGCAATTAACGATCCTTGGGGGGCTGGGGCTGGTAATTAGGGTGATGTATAATTAGAGTTTCAACAAAAATTATCCAGGATTAAAAATCTTTTGAGTAATTTCGTTTAAAAATTTCAAATAGTGTTAAATACAATTTATCAGGTTTTGAATCAAACCCGTGTAACAAGTCTTGGAAGCTGCAGCTCACGTAGCAGGCGCGGGAGGACAGGAGCCGCCTGGGCGCCTTCCCCTTACTGGGAAAAGAAAGTTCTCCTAGGGGAAGGGAGCGGGCTGGGACCTTGCGGTGGTGCACGGCTGTGGCAGGCAGTTCAGACTCTGGCGCCCAGGGCTTCAGACAGCGTGCTGACCCGCCGGGGAGCTGGGCCTGAGAACCCCGGGCTGCGGTGCCTGCAGTGGCTCCTCACTCCCTGTGCACGAAGTTATGGCTAGCTACTAGGCAGCTGACCTCCTTCAGGGCTGGGGCCTTTCTGGGTATATATGGGTGGACTCCGTGTCTGTGGGACCCAAGCCCAGACTCTACAAGTGTCAGGCCCCCCGACTGTGTTCTGTTTACAGTCTCTTTGTGGACCTGAGCCCTAGAGGTGTCTGGGTCATGCTGAGTCCAAGGTCTTGGGGGGAAAGGGGTCAGAGCCACTGGGAAACCAAGGCAGAGAGTGGGGGTCAGGCTTTAGAGGATAGACCTGCAGCTATCCTGGCTGCATACAGGGGAGGGGCCCTCGCTTCCCTGAGGTGGAAGGGAAGGGGGTGGGCCAGTGCCCTGGTGCATGTGGGATTGCTGCCTGAGCTGTGGCCCCTGCTGGGCAGCCTGGGCACCAAGGTTGGGGTGCCTGTAGAGGTGCTCCAGAACTACCTGATAGACTTGTCTGGACTTTCCCCTTCACTGACCCTGGGAGGACTGGAGTGTGGTGTAGCCTGAAATCCTAGGCACAGAGAGGTAGAGTCATTCCAGCAGGGCCACACAGCAAGCGAAGGGTTTAGCAGAATGTCAGTAAGCGAAGAC